TTGTGCCGAGCTATGCTAGGGGACCTATAAGCAATTTTATATGCCTACAGAGGTATCCATCAGGACACTCTTTGAGGAGAAACAGGAAGACGAAGAGATGGCCAACGACTTCATCAAGCGCTTCAAAAATAAGGTGATGAATTGTCAAAATCCAGTCACAGAGGACTTCATCCTCCAAACCTGTCATAACAACCTATCCATTGATACTTTGGAAGTTATAGGAGTATCACCATCCAACACCTGGAAAGAGTTGAAGGTACATGGAGAGTAGGCCGAACGCTTCCTCAGAAGGAAGAAAACAGAAATAAGCCAACCGACGGCTAACCCTCCGAACTCAAGCTTCGTCTCCTGTGGTAAGGGGAAGGCACCTGCAACAGTTGTTGATGTTAATCAGACGTCGGAACAACAACCCCGAAGACAACAAAAGACTTCGGATCCGAGACTCTAAAAAGAGTACTCCTTCAATGACGAAGACGTTCCGGTCATTTTTGAGTCCCTTCTTAAAAATAACAAGATCAAGCTACCACCTATCACAAATCAGGAGGAAGCTAATAATACTTTGGGTCCAAAGTACTGTGCGTACCACAGGAGGATCCTTCATCCCACCAAGACTTACTTCGCTCTTAAAAATAGTATCCAAGTATTGGTTGAAGCCGACGTCATAACATTGGAATAAGCCAAAGGAGAACGCCTCACTCCGAAGAGTATACGAGTATAAACTGCTTCTCACTCCTCCAACAGGTGCATAAGGTTTAACTGCTCCCTGCATACTCCAATAGGTATACGAGTCTAAACTATTTCCTACCTTTGACGGGATGTTCCTGGAGAGTATTACACATAATATTCTTAAGGATAACCCGATCATACAACTGAGTACAATGATAGACTCAGTTTCGCAAAGAAAGCTGGGGGTGGATAATTCATTCAACGGGAAGTTCCCGGAAGAATGTTATATTGTGTATTCCTAGGGATAACCTGGTCACTATAAAAAATATTGATGAATAAGAAACTCCCACTTGGACTCTAAATGCTTCCAAGAGTGAAACGCATCCAATTATCAGGATCAATCTCACCAACTTCCAAGCACTCTTTTGCTAAGACGGGATTTGATCACTTCGTTGGATCAATCTCACAAAAAAAACTCCCACTGGTATTTGACGATTCATAATTTTCCACCACAAAAATCTCGCACTGATCAAATTAATTGACGGTGGGTTCACTAAAATTCTTCCTGGTTTAATCCACTTAAACTCCCGCTGTGTCTATGCACTCAACACTCCTATGTTTAGAGTCCAGTTATAATGCTTGGAATTTTAATCTGCTAATCATTAACAATTGTCAAACCCCTTCGTGTTAAGTTATTATCACTTGATGCCAAGAATCCCTACCGAGTGATTTGTACAAGTCAACACCCCTACTGTGATTTGTACTCCCACTCCCACTGATTAACTCGGTCAAACCTTCCTACAGTTAGGGCCAAAGCCAAAATCCCCCCTCGATTCCTTCCATGAATGAGAGGTCCACTTTTAAATCGATTGGTCAAATCTTCCTACAATTAGGATCGTCTTAGACTTTTCATTTGGTCAAACATTCCTACAGTTAGGGCCAAAACCATAATTCACTCTCGATAGACGAGAAACCCACCTTTAGTTCGATTATCAAACCTTCCGACAGTTAGGATTATCCAAATTTTTTCAATTCTGGGAGTGAAGATCCCACTCTTAGGTTCACCTTTCCGGATTCTTGAAGTACAGATCCCACTTTGAGTTTTCTTTGTAACTGGAGATAGAATATAAAATTCTTTCTCTTTAGCTTTGGGAGATAGAATATAAAATTCTTCCTGTAACTGGAGATAGAATATAAAATTCTTTCTCTTTAGCTTTGGGAGATAGAATATAAAATTCTTCCTCTTCAGCTTTGGGAGATAGAATATAAAATTCCTTTGGGAGATAGAATATAAAATTCTTCCTCTTCAGCTTTGGGAGATAGAATATAAAATTCTTCCTCTTCCACATCGGGTTTGTCTTTACCCCAAAAGAAGAACTGGAGATAGAATATAAAATTCTTCCTCTCTAGTATTGGGTTCGTCTTTACCCTAAGAGAAGACACCATCTTTCAACTCCAAAATCCGTACTTCACACGAATGGGGAATTTTATCCTGAATCTTAAGTAGGGATAAGTGAATGCCTAACACGCGTTGCCGGTTTAGTCTTTCACCGAGTGAAGAAGACACCAGAATCCAAGTCTGGACAATTTTGTCCCAAAGCCTAAGAAGGGATAAGTCAGCGCCTAACACGCGTTACCGGTTAGTCTTTTACAGTAAAAATGATAAAAACCCACATATTCGATATTATGGTAGGTTGTTATTAATAACACCATAATCCGTGCCTTGCACGCATGGGAAATTTTATCCCGAATCCTAAGTAGGGATGAGTCAACGCCTAACGCGTACACGCGTTGTCGATTTAGTCTTTCACCGAGTGAAGAAGATACCAGGATCCAAGTCTGGGGAATTTTATTCCGAATCCTAAGAAGGGATAAGTCAGCGCCTAACATGTATTGCCGGGTAGTTTATTCTCGTAAGAAAGACGAAGTCTACGTATTCAATATCATAACACTAAAAGAGTTAACTCATTTAGCACAACGTTACATGCGAAACAGACTTAAACAATTTGTATGTTAGCCCGACTCAAACGGTAGTCAGTAAAGGCTCATCAAACCCGTTGATGGCTGAGGGTTTGCTAAAAATCCTATAAATGCAAGAGTCATTGACGCACCAGCTTCATTAGTTGGTCTCATAACTTGAGCATCCAACAACCTTAGAATAAGATCCATACATGCAGATGAATCAGCTTTAAAAGTTGGTCCTGCAACCTCGACATTAGAGACCACCACGCTCCAACACCTTAAGAGCTTAAACTGTATAGATTCTAGTAAACACACGAGTATAAACTGTGTTAATGCCGGTCAACGCATTACACTAAAGGTTCATGCCAGTCAACGCATCGATAATTTCGCCAAAATAAGGCTAAGGAAAAAAAAATCGGGTTAAAATGATGCCAAGGAGTTCAATCACATTCATATATGAATTCCTGAAAAAGATGACCAGTTCAAAATCAACTCAATGGCACGAGCTAAGTTTAGAAACTTACACACGAATTTTAGTTCATTACTTCAACAACGGTCAGACAATAAATGCAGTACCGAAAAAACTTCATCTATTCTACAAAATACTTAGTAGGTTGAAGACTGAAGAAGTCAAGAACTGAAGCCAATTACATGCCCTTTTATACCAACTGAAGGTTGGGCCTATCACATCCAAAGCATTTCAGGTTCTTTTATAAAAGAAGTGAGACTAAAACACTTTGAATGGGGTATCTGTAGATGTCAAAATTTGCTTATAGGTCCTCGAACACAATTCGAGACAGAGAGAAGATGATGAACGTTATTATCCGAGTCAAGGAAGATTATCCGATGTCGATAAACATATGAAGCGAATCGGCGAACGTTGATGACGTAGCAACAAACTACCAGAATGGACACCGCCAAGTGGCCCACATGCTCGTCGGCCACCGCCAAGTAGCCCGCATGTTCATCGGCCACCAGAATGGTAAACCAAGTGACCCGTACGTTCACCGACCACCTCCAAATAGCCCGCGCACTCGTCAGTCAGCTCAAAGTGGCCTGTATGCTCGTCAGCCACCAAAATGGTAAACCAAGTGGCCTGCATGCACATCGGCCATCTCCATGCTACCGAAACACATGAAACGAATCGGTGAAGCGTACAAGTCAACAAAACGACGAAATACGCGTAATGACATAACAAGTCAGAACTCGAAAACCAGAATAGCCGCTGGCGGCCGAGTCATACCGATTCATACCAAATCGAACTCGGCCAGAGCCAGTGGCTCGGCCTAGGGCCGAGCCACCAGAGGGTGACTCGCGTAGATTTTATCCTAAAACGTGTTTTGGCGGTTTTCGACGAGTTTTCATGAGATTTTTTCTATTCTATAAGTTCCTAACTACCTAGATATCATTTCCAAACGTGGTTACACGGTTATTAACTGAAGATAAGGCTGAATCCATCATTCTTATCCAAAACCCCCAAAACCGAAGCCTACAAATACAAGCCTGGGGGCTCATTTCTCTGGGGCTAAAAATCAAGAGGTTGAAGTGCTGTCAAATTGGATAGTGGAGCACGAATTTCAGAGGGTTAGCAGATCTTAGCGAAGTTCTTCAATAAAAAAAAAGAGATCTGAGACCTATTTTTCCACTTTTCTTCCGTATTAAGCTTAGTCTTAATCTTAAGAAGAGTTGTAATCTCGCTTTGTTGGGATTACCACTTCTGCGATTACTTCCTTTATGAAGTAGGAGCTTTGATTAACTTTTTCTGTTAATCGGATCTGATCCGCGGTGGTCTATGGACTAACGCGTCCCCGGCACAGGCAAAGATCCCACACAAACAACAAGAGATAAACTGCTGTTGTGTGTAGTTTGAAAAGAGTTGTGATATTTTATTTTTATTGTATAAGTCAATCTTATAAAAACATTGATTTTTCTCTTTTTTCTTTTGAACTTGTAATCGATAAATGGTTGTAATGAGTTCGTTGGCAATGAAATCAACTTTTGACACAAACAGTTATGCGAGTGCATGAGATACATATGCTGTCATCGGTTATGAGGCTTTACTTTCTAGTATTTCATGCTTTCAGTTCTAGTTTGAGTATTTAGTTATCTACTATTTGAGACATATGGTATATACATGAGGGTTTTCTTGTTTGGATTACTTCGCTCGACGTACTACATCTCGATTTATAGATTTCTAAGTATTAATTTTATTAGATACGGGGGAAATAATTTAGGTATACTATGCTTATTAGATAGAGCCTCCACTACATGTAGTAACCCTTCCACTAGGGACGGATGGAGGTGATCTTTCTTTAGCGCTCTGACGCTTTTGTTGTTGTTCTTTTTTATTTTTATTTTTATTTTCCTTTCAGGCGGTTCAGAGCGTAGGAGAGTCGCATGATGACGGAGTGCTTGCATAATCAACGTCATATGAGCTAGTAGATGAGACTCCACAGTAGACATGCCTTATATTCAGTTATTAGAGTTTTCTTAATTTTTTTATTTTGTAAAGGCAGTGAGCCTTAATACATTCTTAGTTAATCTATTTCATGATACATTCATATATTTCATGATGAAAGATGTATTCCAGACTTGTTTATTGAGATATGATTTATTTATGAGACATTCTTTCTTATATCATGTCAGTTGTAATTATTTTCTTTCTTTCGCCTGTTTGTACCTACACTTTATTTTTAATTCCACTAGAGGATATTACTGTGATTGGTGAAGCTTGTTGTTACACAGTGTGGGTGCATAGAAGGCTTGACATCTCTAGGTTCACCTTGGACTGCAGCCATGTGTAAAACTAGGGGCGTCACATTTGGTATTAGAGCTCTAGTTCTAGTATCCTTAGGATCATTCCTATATAGAGTCGTGGAGCTAGAATAGAATTTTCTAGGATTCATGTATAGAGTCTGCTAAGAAATCCTAAAAGAGTTGGGACCATATATGCATATATCATAAAATTTCGAAAAAAAGTTTTAGGATAATTATTTTATATTAATTTAAAGTATTTGCGTGAATACTATGTGTTATGAATATGTATTATGATACATTATGTATGTATGTATGTATGTATGTATATATATATATATATAATCTCATTTACTGTGACAATTAAGCTCTCCTCTTGATATTATAAATATCGGGATGAGGATGTAGTCGAGGTAAAACTCGTACTTGGAGAGTTAGGCAAGCAGAGCCCGAGCCGCATTATTCTCTACAGTATCTGATCAACTTCATGGCGCTGTTTGCAGTAAGATTTTGCCACCCTCGAAGAGCAAGTGGCATATTCATTACCGCCAGCAGTACCACTTTCAAGAGTTCCACCACCAGTTGTATCAGTCGTGCCTATTGAAGAGGTAATACAAATGATGACACCATCACCATAACCAGTTATGGATAGAGCTGCAGAGCAGGAGGCTTGGCTCTGTAAGATAAGAAAGACATCAGACACTAAGAGCATCATAGTTTTGGAGCACACCGGATTCATGTGCAGCCTATAAATAGAAGAAATATGTGAAAATTTCCTAACGTCAACTCAGTACCAAAGCAGAAGTTAGATGTATTCAGCATAGAGGATAGCATCAGAGAATGGCATCGATTTTAGATTTTCACTGAAGCAGCGGATATCACTTATCTGGGAGAATTTTGTTTACTTCATCGACAAGCAGTTGGAGCTAGTCAGATTAAAGTAGGGAGATATGCCTGTAATTAATTATAGAGTCATGATTAGCGTGGTGACAATGTCAAGGGGAAGAGACCTATTGCGAGATCTAGAGAAACCCAGCAGCGGGGTAAAGATTTTTTACCATCAGCATCAATGATAGTGTAAGAAGAGAACACAACATGATTTGTGAGTGTTGTAGTGGCGCAGGATTTGGGATACATGTTACAATTGTAACAAGATCGGATGTAGGATGAAGGATTGTCGTGGTACACTAGCAGGAGACCAGCATGACAGAGGTCAAGGTCAACAGCCTCAAGGCCACGATTACGACTAGCAGCGTGGGATAGAGGTACTACATGTTATTCCGAGGATTGAGGGGCTAGAAGGCTAGATTTGCGATATCCTGAAGATTCCTGAGGGACAGATGGTCCTATTATATCCCACCACCGGCAGCAGCATCCGCATGCCACTGGCAGAGTTTATGCAGTCGTACTGTGTGATCATGGTATGAATGGAGCTTTCTTCGTGATTTCCTTTCCAGTTTATATCTTGTTTGATTCAGAAATTACGCATTCTTTTATCTTTCATGCCTTTATGGATAGGTTTCAGCTTGTTGCACACCCTTACATGTTCTGTTATTAGTCTCTACTCTACTAGGGAAGATGTCCCTATTAGAGAGTATTTATAGGAGATGTGTCATCAGACTAGATGAGTCCGAGTTCATCATCGATTTGATCGTTTTGTGGATGTCGGATTTTGACATCATTCTTGGTATAGATTGGTTATCATCCTACCATGTCCGTATTGACTATTTCGCTAAAGCAGACAGGTTGTGAGCATCTGTTGGGTTTGTTTAGATAGTAACAACCTCATATGAAAACCAGAATGCGGAGTCATTGCTGGCATACATAGAGGAGGTGATGATCCAGGATTGGGGTCCAGATTTAAATAAGATCGGAGTTATCTCAGAGTATCAGATGTCTTTCAGGACATACCTAGATTTTCTCCAGTGAGAGAGGTTATTTTCCTACATCGAGTTGCAGCAGGCACCATACCGATATTTCGAGCACCCTATCGTATGGCACCCACTAAGATGAGGGAGCTACAGACTCAGCTAGATGAGTTGTTATCTCAGAGTTTCATTCTTTGGAGTTATTTTCATGGGAACACCGGTCCTCTTCATGGAGAAGGACGGTAGCATATGATTATGTATAGATTATCATAAGTTGAACAAGGTCACTATCCAGATCAGGTATCCACTATCGAGAATTTATGACTTGTTCGACCAGCTGCAGGGAGCCCAGTACTTCTCGAAGATTGATCTTAATTTTGCTCTTCATCGGCTGTGGATTCGGGAGGTCCTTTCTGATTCATTATGGGTCCTTAGTGTTTCTCGTCATGCCATTTGGGATGACCAATGTACCCACGGTATTCATGGAACTTATGAACCAGATTTATTTTCATCCATACTTGGACCAATTTGTGATAGTGTTTATTAATGATATTCATATTTATTTGAGATTGGAGGTAGAGCATGAGCAGCATCTTCGTCTGGCTTTACAGACTCTACGAAAGCACCAGTTACATGCCAAGTTTAGCAAGTGCGAATTTTGGCTATCTGAGATTAGATTTCTTGGCCATGTCACAGAGAGGGCATTGCAGTGGATCCTACTAAGGTTGTGGCAATACTTGCTTGGGAGTCGTCGACTACAGTTACAGAGATTCATAGCTTCCTGGGTTTAGCCGGTTATTATAAGAAGTTTATTCAAGACTTCTCGAAGACTGTGATGCCACTGACACACCTTACGAAAAAGGGTATACAGTTTGTTTAGGGCACGGAGTGCCAGGAAGCCTTTGAGACTTTAAAGGCTAAATTGATAACAGCAACGGTGTTGGCTATTCCGATAAGTGATAGACCTTTGTCGTCTACGTGGACACGTCACTAGCATGTCTAGGAAGTATTTTTGATGCAGACCTTAGAGAGTATGGCTTATATTTTATGACAGTTGAGGCATATCGTACCAGATACATAGTGCATCCAGGCACAACTAAGATGTAAAAGGATGACACTTTTGGTGGAGCGGTATACGTAGGGAGATTACAGAATATGTGGCTAAATGATTTACCTACCAGTAAGTAAAGGCAGAGCACCAAAGATCGGTAGGAAGCCAACAGCCTTTACCTATTCTGAAGTGGAAATGGGCAGATACTTCTATGGACTTCATTGTAGGATTATCAAGATCGAAGAAGGAGAACGATTCAGTTAGGGTTATAGTTGATTGGCTGACGAAGTCAGCACACTTATTACCATTTAAGACCACCTATAAAGAAGAGACTTATGTGAAGATATTTATCCAAGAGATCGTGAGATTACACGAAATCCCAGAGATGATTGTATTCAGATCGAGACTCTGTTATTTACTTCATATCTCTAGAGGAGTTTTCAGAATTCGTTTGGCAGTCAGCTATCTTATTCTAGTATTTTTCAACCGCAGACGGATGGGTAGATAAAGAGAGTTAACCAAGTGTTGAAAAGCATTTTGCGAGCATGTGTTATTGATTCCCAGGGTAGTTTGGAGGATTACATTCTGTTGATTGAGTTTGCTTTATATGGATCCGTATGAGGCACAGGAGGCCTTGTAGATCCCCGATTTGTTAGGCAGAGCCAAAGGATAGCTTATTACTTGGGTCGGAACGTGTGAGACAAACTACAGAGAAGATAGGAGTGATTCGAAAGTGCATCCTTATAGCGTAGAGTCGTCAGAAGAGTTATGTAGATTACAGGCGACGACCGTTAGAGTTCCAAATTGAGGACAATATATTGTTAAGAGTATCTCTGATAAAGGGAGTTTAGCGATTTGGTAGGCGGGGAAAGCTAGCCCCATGATATATTGGCCTGTTCATGATAGTTGAGCGCATTAGAGCCATTTCGTATCGGCTAGATCTTCCAACATCGATGTTGGGTATACACAATGTTTTCCATGTTTCGATGCTTAAGAAGCATTTACATGATGAGGAGTAGCAGCGGGTGTTAGATTCCCGAGAGATTGAGCTTAATGATGACTTGTCTATAATAGAGATTCCTATTTGTATCCTTATCAAAGAGGACAAGAAGCTTAGAAACAAGATTATACCGTTGGTTAGGGTTCAATGGAACCGGAAAGGATCTGAGGAGGCTTCTTGGGAGCACGAGGAGGATATGCGTCGCGACTACACACACTTGTTTGAGCAAGTAATTTGATTAATTTGTTTATGTTTTGTTTATACACTTATTGTCGAAGCGTACATATTTATATTTAACACTAGAATGTGGGTATTAAGACTTAACTCCTAATCACTTGGAACATATGGTATATATATAGGGGGTTTCTTGTTTAGATTTTTCACCCGACGTACTAGTTCTGCTTAGTTAGAGGTTAAGTGGGAGCACTAACATTCTAGATTGTTAAATGTAGATACTTCTGTAATACGTTTGCAGAATAATTATAGTAGAAATTGACTTGAGATCAATTCAATGTATATGTGTGAATATATGAGTGCAAATGCACAAATCATGCACGAAGAAGAAATTTGGAAAAATAACCAGTTAAGAGTTTACATATTTTTCACACCAATACAATTAGAATCTGGGAAAAGTCAAAAAAAAAAGTTGTAGCTATCTTCAACAGCTTTCTAACAAATCTTAAATCACCTCATTCCGAGGTTAGATGTGAAAATTACAGCCAAAATATTAAATATAATTTTTAGAAACTTTTAATAGTCAACTACTACTCAGAGTAGTCGACTATCAGGAATTTTCCTGGGCTGATAGGTTGTAGATTTTAGGTCAAATTCATTTTTCTTCGAGCCTATTGATAACCTAACTATATACGTGTGTTTTAAACCCAATTTCTTAGATATTTCACGAAAGAACA